TAGATTTTGTGGGCTCCAACTCCGCAGTGGGGCGGGGAGGGGGGCTAGAGTGCCAGTTCGGACTCCCCATTGCTGAGGGGAGGGGGAGAAAAGCCCTGAGCCTAAGGGGCTGGATCCAGGCAAGCTGGGAGCCACATCTAGCCCCCTGGACCTGAGGTACTCCAGGCCTGGTGTACACGGTCACATGCAGGCTCCTGGTACACACAGGGAGCTGGTGTAAAATCTGGATCCCCGTGCGCACTGGCTCCTGGGGAGCCTCCTGCCTCTCCCCTGCTGCTGCATCTGTATCAGAGGCAGCAGCGTGGTGGGGAGGGGGAAGAGGCAGGAGCCAAGGGTTACTTAATTCCACACAATTTAACGTCCCCCTTTCAGACACAGCCTCTATTGGGCGGGGCAGGGGCAGTCCGGTAGAAGAGAAGCAGGAAGGCCCGAGGCCAGGCGAGCTGGAGAGAGGGCTCTGCGGGGCGGAAGTGAAGCAGAACTAGAAGTGCCTCAGTATAAGCAGGGGAAGGGCAGCCAAAACTAGCAGCCCCAAGCCCAGAAGCTGAGCAGAGGAATCAGCCCCTGAGGTAGGTAGTGACCAACAATACGGCTTCGAATGGCTGCCATGGAGCTGCAAGGCCGGAGCCCTCCAACACTGCGTTTGTGGCAACGGCCTGTTCCATGTCCTGCCCGTTTCCCCCCCCCTCTGCTGACAGCCTCTGTGTCCCCCTCAGGCCTAATTCCATTACCGAGGCAATAATTTCCAAGATGAGCCACATACGCTCCGACACGCTCTTCATTTTCATCCCAATGAAAGTTCTGGGGCCCACGGCCGCCATTTTAATAGGCCTGTCTGGAACTCACAGTCTTCTTTCCGATGGATCCAATTAACGAGGACTCTTCCGGGAACGCATCAGACCCCGCGCAGCTGATCTCACTGGAGCAGACCTCGGTTGCTAAGCATTTGCCGCTGCCTCTTAGATAAACACAGAGCGTCCATTTGGATTTTAGAGCCGAACGAAGCGCTCCACTTTTGAACAAGGGAAAGACTGCCAAACAGAACCCTCTTCTGGCTGACTGCAGACACAGACGAGACTATTAACTCAAGCCATGAGCAAACATGCGGCCACGCACAGGCATTTCTAGGAAAGAATACATCCAGGTGCGTACATCCGGTCTGAATTTGCCCAACGCGTGTGTCAACAGCACTAGAGTGAGACTCTCAGACAGCTCGTTACCCACATTGATACACTACAAACCTGAGCTGGGATTCGGACTGATGAATCCACTTCAGCCCACATTTACCTAGAGATTATTCACCATTATGACCCAAGTGCATCGGGCACAGAGCTCATAGCTAAGTATCTACTCTCTATATTAGAGACTTAGTGCGTCCGTCTGCCTGTGAGTCTGTCGGTTCACAAACTCCTCCCAAACGATAAGAGCTGGAACCACCCAATTCAATAGGCAGCTTCCTCCTCTTAAAACGTACAAGAAGGTCAGGGTCCGGTTGTGCCAGGACAAAGGGATGCACATGAAACTAAGTTTCGCCTCAAACAGAAAGGGAAGGGGTATGATAGCAGGGAGAGTTATACTCACAAATGACCACAAGGGGGCAGGAGCAGCCGCTGGCCAGTGCAGCCCCTGCCGCTCTGGTCATCCTGACGGAGCAGCCGCTCACACTGCCTCCCCGACCCTCTCCCGCACTCCGGGCTGGCCCCAGAGCTGCGTGGCTCTTGCTGCCCCGGGGAGAAGCTGGCAGGTGGGCTGCGCAGTCGCCGCCGCCCCCAGGCAACATTGGGTAAGTCTTCTAGTTATTAATACTTCCCCAGCGTCTCTCAACAGACCTATTTACGTTCGGAATGGAGCCAGTCTCTCCTCCCCAACGAGCTGTTCTCTCTCTCTCTCTCTGATGTGGGTGCTTGGCGGAGGTCGGCGACTCACTCATCAGCCGGGCGCTGCTCCAGCACCAAATAAATTAACATGCGATAATAAAATGGCGGCTCTGAAGGGCCGGTTGTTTATTTCGAAAGGCTCTTGTGTTCCAATGTTTTTAACCTTTAGACGCTACAGTCCAATTAGCTGCCTGACAGGACCTTGCGAGAGAGACTGTAGCTAGGAAGCAGGCCGGGTAATGGTTATGTAAAACGCCACACCAACAACATTTCGAGAGTAGGCCGCTACTAGCTACAGTAGCATCAGAGCTTTGGGCAGCGGTGTTGCTCGGCTCCTCCGCCCCTCAGCTTTGGCCTGTGCTCAATCCCCACTCAGAGGTCATGGTGACGGGCTGTACACAGCGCTAACGACGCAGCAGCCGTCGCGCTGCTCTGAACTGTCTAGTAGAACGCACGCTCCCAAGCCAGCTAACATGCCTGTTTCGAGTTGGAGGATGTCCTGTAATTCCGCAGGCAAGACACAAGTGACCCCAAACACCCATTCTGTGCACGATGGACCGGTGGAGAAGTGGGGTCATATCCAGACTCAGATCCTAATTATTTGGTACCAGAACCCTAGCTCCATAAAGAGCAACCCCATACCCCTGTCTGTGACTAGCCTCGTCTTTGGGGGTGGGAGGGAATCAAGAGCAAGGAATTCACATCTCTCTCCGAATTTTGCAGACTGGGCCCCTCTGCAGGGGACAACTGGCAGGTCGTCCGCAACACCAGAGCGCTCCCTTGTTGCGCTCCTCCACCGCTGTGTCACCCAAGCTGTCACACACATTTACACAACGGGCCAAAGGAATTCCACACCTGGCTGACTCGGAAGACTTAGGATCCTTCAAAGCAGCAGCTAAGGCCATGGTAGATCCAGAGGGAGAGTAATTAATTCTTAATGTTAATGCGATTAGATGGCATTTAAAAGCAGCAGGGAAGACAAAGCAGACCCACCCTAACAGCTAAAAGACTTTTTTAGCTGCAGCTTGGCTACAGGGGGAGGACGACGTGAACCATTTTTCTACTAGATGGCAGTGGTGTGTCGCCCTATATAAAAGAAATTCTGAAAAGAAACTGCATTCAATTTCCAATGAATCTGTGCTTAGACTTGACTGTGCAGATGGTGTGAAATACAACTGTACTCCTCGCACAAACACACACACACACACACACGGGCATCGGACATTAGTCTAATAGTGACACCAGACTAATCTCTGAGCAATCGTAACACACACACACACACACACACACAGGCATCGGACATTAGTCTAATAGTGATGCCAGACTAATCTCTGAGCAATCGGAACCCGAGATATGCAAGGAAAAACAATTCATTACCTGCACCTACTTGCTACACCATATTCCTAGGCATACCAGAACATGTTCCTACATGCTACTAACGTGCCACCTCTTTAATATGTCACAGCTGACTCGCAGCCCACAGATCTTTTCCAGGACTGGAGCTAGGTCATGGTTTGGAACGAGAACCACCCAGCAGATCTCTGGAAAAAGAGTTCACCGGGTTTAAATATCAAAACTGCCAGGGGCCAAGTTGGCGTCTTCAGGACAAAGGCACGTGGTGGAAGGAACAGGGTAGACGTGAGCACGCCGCGGACGGGCCACCCAAACCCAAAGCCAAGTTGGAGCTGGCGGACGGCCCCAAGGGGAGCTGCAACACTTTCGGTGATTGAAGGAGCTTCGCCGCGCCTAGCACCGGGTTGATTTGTGCGGAGCTCAAGGCATAGAAAAATCATGCCGCTCGCAAACATGCCCGATCATTTACGGGCTGGATCGGGGATGATAAGGCAGCAGCTCAGTACACAAGGACGGTTCACCATAGAGACTCGAGGAGAGGGGGCGCTGGGTTTAGTCATACTGAGGATCCTTGGCTCCGCTTACAGCCACTGGGAACGGAGGGACTCGGGGGCCCAGCTGCACATTAACAAGGAGATGCAGTAACTGTTCCACTCCCCCTCTGGGAGCCACAGAGCCATTGTCAGCGCCACAGCAGAATCGGCCAGCGGGAGATCGGAGAAAACCTTTCCCACCAAGCAGAGCGAAGGCAGCAGTTCCTGGCTGGCTCAGCTGGCTGCAGCAGCCCTCCCCTCCCCCCCCAAAGTTTTAAAGGGGTCCAGCTTTTGCAGCTCGACCTTAACAACTAGGCTTTATTCCAGCCTCTAGGCAGCTATGGGGTGAGCACTGCTCAGTGTTCCCCTGTTCACACTGGGGCTGCATCCTCTGGACGATCAAAGCCAGCCCGCAAAGCCCCAGCCTTCTCTCGCTGGAGCTACCACACAGGGCTGCCCGGTGCGGAGGGCAGCACCCTGCAACGACGACACACCTTTATGGCAACGCCCGGGAAGGACCCAAAACACCTGTCCCCGGGCAACTCAAACAAGGCTGAAAAACAAACCTCCCAGGCTGGCCCAGCAGAGCTGTTCCTGGGCTCCTGAACGTGGGTCAGGCTGCGGTAACAGTAGCTCCCTGGTGTGTCCACTAAGGAGCTGTGCTGCTGCAGTTTCCCACCTGGGCAATGCCTGGAACAGAACACGCTGGGATCCCTTCAGGGGCTACAGCAGGGGAGGGGAACCTGCAGCCCCAGGGCCGGATGCAGCCCCCGGCTTGCCTGGATCCAGCTGCCTGAGGCTAGGGCCTTCCCTCAGCATTGGGAACTGGGGCTGGCCACCGTCTCCCAGTAGGGCTGGAGAACATGCAATCTACTAGCCTGCCCCCCCGCCCAGGCGCTGCTGTGCGAAGGGACTGGGGGGTCTTTCTCCTCCGTCCGGGGCCACCTCAGTGAGGTTTTAGGGTTTACTTGCTTCCCACTTGTGTGTACCCCCCACTGATTTTTCTGTGGGTCCCCAGCCCAGAAAAGGTTCCCCAGCCCTTGGCCAGAGGGAAGGAGACCTGTTCTTTCACAGGGCTGGGGGGAGGAAAGGGGGCAACCCCCGCCCATCTCACCGCCTGAGGAATCACCAGGCCTCCTCCAGGAGCAGGGCCGAACAGCAGGAGGCCGGGCTCACATTGTGTTGGAGGGGGACGGGGCTTCCTCCCCGTCTGCGCTCGCCGGCGCGCAAAGCTCACCTGGACGGTCTGCGCTTGGCTTCCTTCTTGCTGTCCACCACGGCCGGCACGCAGTTGGTGAGCTCGGTCCAGTCGGCGTGCAAGCCGCAGCTCCAGCCGGTGGAGAAGCGGGAGAAGAGCCAGGTCTCCCGCTTGCCCGGCCGGTGGCAGGTGCATTTCTTCTGGCCGGCCCGGCACTCGCAGGGCTGCTCCAGCTGGATGTTGCGCACCAGGTGGCGGCCGAAGGTGGTGCCGCCCGTCTTCTGGATGTGCAGGAAGACGATCACGTCCTCGCCCTTCATGTCGAAGGCGAGCGCGCGGTCGAGCGCCCGCACGGGGAAGTAGTACTTCTTGACATAGTGCGGGTCCGGCGTGGGGAACAGGTCCAGCTCCTCGGCCGGGGCGCGGCCGCTGGGCGCCCCCAGGCCCAGCCCCGGCCCCACGTACTGGTACAGGATGAGCATGAAGCACACGGAGCCGGCCACGATCAGCAGG